GCACAACAGCGTCACTACAGGAGTACCGAAGAAAAAACGAAGCTCGTCCGTCTACCTGTTGGACAAGAAGAAACGAAGAAGAACAAATTTTTTTTTTTTTTTCACGTGGAATAGCAGCTTTACTTTACCGTAGCATAATGATGAAATGGACAAGCTCTTTTTTTATATTTTTAGACATGTGCAGCAGGTGCAGTTAATTAATGATGCAGTTTTTTTTTTTTTTTTGGAAAAGAAAAAATTTTCAAAAATTTTAAATGTGAAAACTTAAATTTAATTTTGAACTACATAAATTAATAAATAAGATTATTTATTATCCATAAATATTTGCTGAACATGTAAGCTCGAGAGCCAACGAGCGAGGTTTTATCAAGCTCAAACTCGAGCTTATTTATATACAAGCTCGAGTTCGAGGCTCGATAAGCTCCGCTCGCAAGCTCATTAGCGAGTTGAGCTCAAACCGACTTGGCTCACTTATACTCCTAATTACAATAGATTCTATTATAATATTAGATTTAAAAATAATAATAAAATCATCTTGAATTTTGATCCAATAGCTCTTGTCGCCATAACTTGACAATCAAGTCTCTTACTGATGAACTGGCTTTATTGGTGTGCTCGTAGCAACAACCACTTCAAACTTGATATATCATCAAAGAATTATCTTGATCAGGGAATCTCGAGGCAAAATCAAGTTGGAAACTTTCAAAAATAAATTTGGGACCATCCGAACTCTTGATATTAGTAAACTTACAGTTAAAGTGAACGTCTAAAAAAAATGAACCCAACGACACCAAATTCAACTCAATCTGAGCCAAAAAATAAGTCCAAATCAAGGACTCAAAACACATTTTGGAATGCTCAAACCATAAATTGGATGATCAAATAATTTCCAAATAGGACATGCTTATAGTTGAATCGAGTAACTTGACGAGATGAATCCAATGAGCCCAAGATCGCTACAACAACAACAACAAGCCTTTGTCCCACTACAGGGGGTCGGCTACATGAATCCTTTTTCACCATTGTGTCAAGTTAAAAGTCAAATTTTCATTTAAATCTAATAAAGAAAGGTCATTTCTAAAATTTTATAACCTAGTCTTTTTAGGTCTACCTCTACCTTTCTTAACATAAGTTAAACCTAATACCTCAACTTTCCTAATTGGGTCATCTAAAGGCCTCTGTTTAACGTGACCAAACAATCTAAGGCGACTCTCTCTAATCTTATCTTCCACTTGAGCTAGTCCAACCTTTTCACATATATGCTCATTTCGTATCCTATCTCTAAGGGTCAAGCCACTCATCCACCTAAGCATCCTCATCTCTGCAACACTTAACTTAGTATTATGTTTCTCTTTTAATGGCCAACATTCGGCACCATAAAGCATTACAGGTCTCACCACCATCTTATAGAATTTTCCCTTAAGTTTGAGAGGGACTTTTCTATCGCACAATAAGCCCAATGCATACCTCCACTTCAGCCATCCAACTTGAATTCTGTTGATAATATCCCCATTAATTTCACCATCACTGTGAACAATATATCCAAGATATCTAAAACGTATACTCTATTAATGACTTGATCGCCCAAAGTCACAATCCCCTCACTAGGTCTATTGCTACTAAAATTACACTCCATATATTCAGTTTTAAATCTACTCAAGCAAAAACCTTTAGACTCTAAAGTTGACCTCCATAATTCAAGTTTACCTACAACGCCCTCTCTAGTCTTATCAACAAGAAGAATATCATCAGCAAAAAGCATACACTAAGGTACATCATCTTGCAAATGTATAGTGAGAACATCCATGACTAAAGCAAAAAGATATGGACTTAAGGCTAATCCTTGATGTAATCCAACCGAAATAAGAAAATATTTGGTCAAACTACCTTGTGTTTGAACACAAGTAATAGCTCCTACATACATATCTTTAATGATTTGAATATAAGCATTATTAACTCCTTTTTTTTCAGGAACTCTCCATTGCACTTCTCTTGGAATTTTATCATATGCTTTCTTTAAATCAATAAATATTAAATGTAGATCATCCTTATTCTCTCTATATTTCTCCATCAAACCTTTCAATAAATGTATGACTTCCATAGTAGACCTACCCGGCATGAATCCAATTAGATTTTGAGAAACATTTATGTCACGCTGCAGCCTACGCACCATAACTCGCTCCCATAGTTTTAAAGTATGACACATTAACTTAATTCCTCTATAATTCACACACTACCGTGCATCACCTTTATTCCTAAAAATAGGAATTAACACACTCATTCTCCGCTGATCTTTCATCATTTTTGTCTTCAAGACAGTATTAAAAAGTTTAGTAAGCCAAGAAATTCCTTCATCTCCTAAGCATTTCCACATCTCTATTGGAATATCATCAGGTCCAATAACTTTTCCACACTTCATTTTCTTTAAAGCCTCTCTAACTTCAATTTTACTTATACGCCGATAAAAGCAAAATTCTTTATTTTCATTTAGGGTGATAAAGTCACTAAAGTCAATCGTATTTTCACATTCTTCATTAAAAAGTTTAGCAAAATACCTCATCCACCTTTGTTGAATACCAACTTCTAAGAAAAGTATTTTTTTATCTTCATCCTTAATACACTTCACTTGAACTAAATCCTTACTACTATCTCTTTGTTTGGCTAACTTATACATATATCTTTCTCCATCTTTAGTATCTAATGTATTATAAAAATTATTAAAAGCTAAGCTCTTTGCATCACAAATAACTTTCTTAGATTCCTTACGAGCCTCTTTATAGCTTTCCCAATTATCAGAATTTTTACATCTAAATCAATTTTATAACAAATCTTCTTACTTTTTTATCTTTTCTTGCATATTTGGATTCCACCACCAACTATTTTTACTATTAGAAGCTTTTCCCTTTGAAACTCCAAGCACATCTTCTGTAATATTCTTAATATCCTTAATACACCTAAGATCGCTGAACTCAGAAATTGTTTAAGTCATTCAAATGTCCAATAAATGGTCCACGATCAAGGGGATCAATTTCAGTCGTCCATTCAAATGGCTCCAAATTTATCATTGATCTCTCTCCTATTTACTGGTCATGCCACTCTAAGAAAACTATAAATACACCTCTCATTCCTCATGAAAAGGGGGCCCAAGTAAGGAGGAGAAAAAGAAAGGAGAGTATGAAGGAAGAGACATTTAAGATCTCTCTTACCACCAAACTCCTCCTCTACAACCGCTCGGACTTCCAACGGACCACCATCCATCACCAAACTTCCATCAAACCGGTGCCAGTCAAAGTTGGACATTTGTCCGGCCACATACTGACGCCAAACTTCTATCCGACCACTAACTTACGTTGTACTTTCACCCATTTTCCAATTACTGATTGACTTACTCCCGGCTACCAACAGATGTCAGGCTTCTTCCCAACAACTAGTTGTGACCAAACTATGGTCTTTCTAACCACTTTCTCCTGCCGACTATGATCCTTCTAAACTCCATAGCCGATCAACTACGGTCCTTCTGACCTTCTTCGTCTGCTGATTACAGTCCTTCTGACCTTCATCGTCATACAATGGTCTTTCTAACCATTGTCGCCCATCGACTATGATCCTTCTGACCTCCGGAGCCTGTCGACTACAATCCTTCTGACTTCTGTCACCAGCTGACACCTTTTGACCTCCATCACAAGAAAATGGTCTTTCTGATCATTGTCGCCTGTCGAGTACGGCGCCCGCTGACTACAATCCTTCTAACCTCTGTCAGCACTGACTACAATCTTTCTGACTATTGTCACCCGCCGACTACAGTCTTTCCAACCTTCATCACTAGACAACGACCCTTCCAACCTTTGTCACTAGGTTATGGTCTTTCCAACCTCAATCGTCCATCGAGTACAATCCTTCTAACCATCATCACCCGACTACTATCTTTCCGACCTCCATTACCTGCTGACTAAAAGAACATGCCAATAATAATTCTTTCATTTCCCACCATGTAATGCACTCTATATGATGTATATTTGCTATATCAAACCAAGGCCTTCCCCCTAGGAAGAGCCTCATTTGTAATTGACTGCAAGCACTAGTGGATTCATAAAAACTGCACCAGGCCCTTAGTTTTTCCCCTATTTTCAAAGATTTCCACATAAAAACTCTAGTGACTTTTATAAATGATATACACTCTTTTTAATTTGATTGTGTGCTAAATCTTCATACAAGCCTAACACGTTAAAAAATTATATTTCTCTACCGTCACGAATATTCCTGAATGCAACAAAACTCAACATTGATTTAAGAATCAACACCATTGATATTCTCCATCAAACTTTCTAAACACATTATCATAATCAATCCAAGAGATGATCTTAAACAATCCAATAGATGATGCAAGCATTCTTAGGAAAATTGCTTCTTATATGCTTCTCCAAAGTAGATGCTTATATTGATTTTTGAATCAAATAGATAATATTCTTCAAATAGATTTCACTGCCTTTCATGATCTAATTTTTTAAACAAACATATAATTTTCTCCAAACTCTAACTTTTTAAAAAAAATTATGAAAATTGCATTAAACATAAAAAGGAAAGGATACAAACTACTATGTGATAGCCAAACTATCACATTCCTTCCTAATCAAGTCAACAAAACTTGAAGTAAGAACATCAATAACAAAAACATCCCAAAAGAAATCACCTAAGAGGGCTTGATAAAAACAAACTCCAACTTCTTGGGAAGGGTGGGGAAAAACTCAACTGCTATAGCCATTTAGGTCGTCCACTACCCTATCTATCTTATGACAATTCAATGGCAGGCATGACAAAGTCTATGTCGCAATGATTAATAGTTGAAACCCACATTCACAAAAACAGAAAGATGTTGATTTGCAGAGAAAGAGAAACCTTTTAATTTCAATATTTATAATATTACAAACTATGATTTGTTTGAAACTCTACAAATATGGCCTATAAAAATATCATAATAGACGATGATATAAAACTACAAATCATGAAAAAAATACTTAAATTAATCGTGAGAGTTCATTCTATCCAGAATGTAATTAACTAAGTTACACAAACTAAATATAAATGCATTTGCACATAATTCCTAGGACTAAACATTTAAGTATTGAAAGTTAACTTCTCAATGCTTAACTTTTAAATGTTGATAATCAAGTTTGCTTGAGTTAGCTTAAGAAAGCTTTTCAAGCATTGGAAGTTACAACTTCGTAGGAACATGAGTTTCTAATACATAAACTAATCTGCATTCCCTTCAATTTTATGCAAGCTAATGATTTTGAGCTAGTGCATTTGGCACACAATCCGATTCTAGGACTTGGAAAAAAGCCATAAATTAGTTAAAAACTATACAATCTTTATGTGGTTTGGCTTCTCTATTTTTCCTCGTCTCTTTACCCCTTGGCAATTTCACGGCATTTCAATCATTAAATAATTCACTTAAGAAAGGGTCAGAAAGAGTATCTTTAGCAGATTCGAAGTTGTGAAGACGCCTTTTAAAAGACCTAAGATTTCTCTCATCCTTTATTGTACGTTCCTGAAAAAAAAAAAAAAAGATGCATTGCAAATAGTTGAGCTTCAAGTTTTGCTGGCAAACAGTCTCAAATAAAACACTCACATAGATTTTCTTCTTGTCCAAAATGTCAACAAGATATATCAGCCATAGAACATTGGTCTTTGGGAAGCTGCATAGCAATATATTGCATCAATAAGATAATTTACATTTTATTTCATCAATTAAATTTCATAAAGGTTTTTCAAGCATAATTAGGCGGAAAAAACTTAGCAGTGCTTTAATCATGCAAAGGGAACTATATGCATATCCACTTCCTTCACTCTTTTTTAATTGATTATAAATTGTAATTCCTAAAAAGGACATTTCAATACTAATGGCATTACAACCTTCTTCAACTCAATCATGACAGGCAGGATGTGCATAGAGGCTAATGTGCGCCAATCGTATACTCCTTCATTTACAAAGAGCTTATTTTTGTAGGTCATACATTCACATCACGGCTTATATATTAGTCAAGATGTATGCAGTAGAAATTGCCAGCCAAGTATAACAAAATAATAGACATTATAACCACTACCCCATTAGTTAAAATACAAAAATTCACGTGTAGGTACAGTATTCTTTGAAATAAAAAGTCAATTTGAACATTTGCAAATAAAAAATAAAGAAATTGATCTATATCAAATTGATATTTCGCAAGTGAAAGTGCTTCTAAAGGCAAGTTAACTAACCAAGTCAAAAGTTTGGCTCATAATAAGCATGGTCTCTTCTAGGAGTTAATTGAGCAAAAACAAAAAGGGTTGTAGTGAACTAATCGTAAGCATCGGGCGGTATTGACAGCCCATCATAACTGATTGAAACTGGTGCTCTTTAGGATTAAAATTGACAAGAATAGAAAGCTCAAACATACCTCTCCTCCCAGCATTCTCCAGTCACTTCTTTCATCCTTCTATATGTTTCAGACTGCCAACAAAGACAAATATATAACAGAATGGGACTTAATTTTACGCATCATAAGCTAGTTTAGCTTGCTTCTCACCTGTATATTCCATTTGGGACCCTTGAAGAGTTCAGGATCTGATGAAAGATTAAGAAAGAGTACAGCTTCTCCTGTGGTCATAAAAATTAATAATCATTCAGTAAATTTTAACCTGCAAACAGCAAAATTGAAATAGCTAAGAAGTCCATGAAAATGATCTTTATGTTGTCCTCCGGCTTCTTCTCAGTAATGTTTTTCTCCATTTGATAGCATACAAGATACAACTAAACATTAACCTTAATGGAAAATCTTATTCTCTGACAAGATATCGAGGTAAATTTTCACATCCCTCCAAGCCCAGCTGGCCCAAACTTATTCCGTTCACTTTGGTCACTTAACCTTATTATGCAATTTTGCATTAATATAATAACAGACTGATAGGAAATACTTGTGTTCGCAAGTAACCCTAAGGTAATACTTGAGTTCGCAAGCAATCCTAACCCAAATCGATATGCAAACAGCAGTGAAATGGATGTTTGTAGCAGGAAAAACAGCAAAAAACCTGCTGTCTACAGCAGGAAATCAGCACAAACCAGGGAAAATCGTGTGAAGAATCAATGCAGGACTTGTATTCCACTAGAAGATGCAACAAAATAGAAAAGATACAATTGATCCTCAATTCGAGAGGAGGATCGATCTCTCCCAAAATTCTAGACGCCGCTAGAGCCCAAAGAAAACCTAACTCTAAGAGATCTCAAATTTCAGCCCAAATTCAAGATGCCCAAACCCTAGGAAAAACATCTATTTAATGCATACAATTCAAAAGGAATTCCCTAAACAATCCCTGCAATCAATTTCCCTCCTAAACTTCCTCAATTTTCCTTCCCGAAACCGTCCCGCAAGGCATGCGTCACGCGCGGCTTCCGCCCAGGCGGAAGCAATCTCCGTTGTTTCGCGATATTCGCCCGTGAACCGGTCCCGCCTGGACCGGATGGACCGGTCCAGTGGACCGGTCTAACACAGACCATAAGATTAACAAACGAGGGCCTTTGGCTAAAGTTTCTATGTAGGGGAATCTAACCTTAATTAAATATGCATATGTGCAATGTATACTCATGAATGTATACAAATGTTTCAGTTCTTGATGAGGATATTCTCCCTCAAGAAGAGGGTTGCTTTGAGTAACTTGTCTAGGACCGACAGAGGGACTCGCTTGAGGGGATTGATGAGATTTAATCACCTAGGTCTACTATGGAGCTCGTCCTGCAAGGAGAAAATCAGGGATCCCTCCTCAAATCACCACTTACAATTATTATCTCTTTCACTATCGCTTCCCTAGAACATCCAAACTCGCCCAACTCAGCTATAGGAAAGCGCTTACTTAGAAGACATATATTTATTGTACAACAATTTGTCCTAAAGCTCTTTCATTCCCCTAACATCTCACTCACCTTCTTCATCAAGGCAAACCGAGATCTTCTACACTATGGGCTCCGAAAATTCCATTGCACTCCGCGGCCTCTCTGCGCTAGTCTGTCTCTTTTCTTATTTTGTGATGACAGCGGAGAGTTTTAACAAATTTAGTTCCGGGATAATTTTTAGAAGGCAAATTGCGTTTACATAAGACACTACCTAGAGATTTCGCCCTCATTTTAGGAGGACTTTATGAACTGAGTTCTGGCGCTCCTATAGTTAATTATCCCTCCCAATAATGAGAGAAAACTTTCGATTAAGGTTAGTCGTTAAAGTATTCGCGTAGGTTATAAGTCCAGCATATAATAGCAACTGTTTTAGGATTTGAATTTGATTTTATGATTTGGAAGATCTAATTTTGATTCGACATGTAAGATCTAATTTCCTATATTGTAATGACTACTGAGCAGATTACTTCACAGACAAAAAAATTGGTCATAATTTTAAGGATTTCACAGCAAGCTAACATTTTACTGTCTTCCATTAAAAGTACTCAGGCCATCCACAAATCTTAATAAGGGAAACAATTGAAAAAGAGAAATTACCAGTGTTGATACGAGAAAGTGTGAAGTCAATTATAGACACTGTCAGCCCAAAGGTACTAACACTCTTTTTTTTTCCTTCAAGGGTGAAATCAACTATTGTGGCCCCACCACGACGTAAGAGAATGTTGCCCCTACAGGTAATATTTTGGATTATAATTCAACGGCAGTAAATGGTATATGTAGGCAACCGTAAAGCAAAATGGAAAGAATCATTCAAGAAGTTTGGAAAGCAAATCGATACCAGTGTAAATCTCGATGTTCAAATTCACATGCAACTTCTGCAACAGCCAATGCAGTTGTAACCTACAACGACAAAGATGGAACTGCCTTCATTCAAAAAGCAAATGTTTAACAGGTTCATTTTTTGAGGCGGCAAATATATTGCTTGCCTGCACAAGTAAACTTCGAGCCTCATTGAAATTTAGAAGAACAAAGTTTTCAAGATCCTTTCCACCATCAGCTAATACAAACACAATATAGCGCTGAAATAGAGTAACTGTTGCTTAGGAAACAGAAAATTTCAAATTGTATCAACAAGATATAACAACTTCATGTCGCATAGATTGAAAACCAACTTGATCTTCTGGAAATGCACAAGGATGATCATTCTCAGAGTTATTTTTGGCATCCCAGTCTTCCCACGCTCTAATTAAGTTTGTATCATACAAGCCTTGACATACTCGAAAACTGCAGAGAAATACGACGAAGTTTATGGAGAGCTAAACAAAATGATTGCATCGGGTATGAACAGTTGAGTTATGAAAGATATAATATCAACATACTCCTTGGTCTCAATAAAACTTCCACACGAATTGAGCTTGTCACTATTTTTATGCTGCTCTCTCAAAGAATTTAGCGTTAAGGAAAGCAAGACCTCTTCTAACACCTCTTCAGATTTCTTGTAGGAAAAGAGAGAAAATCGGACTATAATTAACAAAATAATAATAATAATAATAACAAAAATGAGGATAATTGTAAGAAAAATGAGCTCAGCAAACCTTCTGGACTTCTCCGTTAACTACCAAATCACCATCAATGGGAACTATCTTGCATACAGTTTCACCAGCTCTAAAAGCCTCTCCATATGTACCTTCACCAAGCTTTATTATACTGCTAGCATCACTGTATCCACAAAAGCCATTTTCAAAATCGGAATAAAGGCTAATGATTTTGTTGTCATAAGAAAATAGTTTCCAATACGGTATCAACTAAAATGTGTAACAATGACTTGTCCAAATGTAGGAACCAGCCAATTCGATCGAAACTGCTATCTATGAATACGTATTCAGTCAATTCCAAATACAAGTCTTTCATGACAATTTTATAGATTCACCGTCATTTTTGGGATTAGTTTCACCAATAGAGACCAATATCTTGATAATTTTCTCTAAAGAAGGCACGAGTCAAATAAGGGAAAGCTCCAAGTTTGAACTTAAGCAAGATAGATGCCAAAAATCTATACAAAATTATTGATTTGTTGGATCTGAAATTGTCCACGGGCAATGTGAGAAACTTATTGATATAAATGATCAAGAAACAAGAGAAAAGAGGAGAGTAAAAGATAATTTTGAATTAAAAACTCTTAAATTTTAGTTGATTGCCAAAAATACAAGATTAATGCGAATGATTTGATATGTTGGGCTCACCATCTAGCCCTATTTATAGAACCGGGTGGGTCAAGGCACAATACTACATGAATGCTACTTTTAAGCCATAAAAGTAAAATTACATGGCAATGATTAACAAGTACTAGCTATAAAATGGCTTAGCTAGCCAATGGCTATTTGATTACAGAGTACAAATGCTAACTTCTGAGGGGCTAGTTCATGTGCAGTCATTTGCCAACTTCACTTAAGTAGAACTCTGGTTAGTAGCTTTTGCAAGTTCGATGAGTAGCGTTGGTAACTTGGGTGACCTTGTTCAATCTTTAAGCCAAGTACAATCATGTGGATAGCTTTGAACAACTTGAGCTTGATGATGAGTTCGTCATGCTTTAGTGAGACCAAAAGGCATCCCTAAAGTGTACAAAAGAGTACATGCTTGTATGAAAACAACTATATATCTATGTCTTCTTAAGACAAAAAACAATTAAAAATGGGAAGAACCATACTTTTATATATCGCAATCCATACAGAAAAATAATAAAAAGGAAAGTGAACAGAGGCCCCTTTGATTTGTACTGAGAGGTCTTCCAAGTATTTACATTTACGACCAACAATATAATCAAGGAACTAGAGGGGAAATATCGAAAACAGTTTTGTATATGTTATTTCTAAAGCATTAGGCCTGTCTAAGGTTTGTTTTTCCTCATTGCCATTTCCTCATTCCTACTTCAGTATTGTGTGAAGTAGTGCTTTAGATGTACTTCTCCCTATGTACTATCTTCACTTACTCTCTTATTTTCAGGGAGATCATCATGGCACTCGAGCTTGCATTCGGGCAATTGCACATCAAGCTTAAGAGGACAAAAGCACAAATCATTGGCGCACCTTTCTCTCATGCTTTACATCCTCTAAATCTTGAAAATTCGTCGAACTTTCATATTTAGTAAATTCAAATTTTAAGACAAAATAGAGAATAAAGGGAATTTAAGATTCTATAGATTAAAGTTGTAATCTTTTAGGTTTGGCAAGATTTAAGCTAAATTTTGCTTAAATCCTGCTCAAGTCCAATTCAAATAACCCTTAAGTAGGGCATTATATTTTATTTCTTAACATTCTATTTTTTATATTTGCTTTATAATAAAAAATATCAAATATAAGACACTACCCATAAATTTCACATTCATTCTGTGAGAACTTTATGATCTGAGTTCAGGTTTCCTATAGGTGCGCCCTATAGTTAATTATCCCTCCCGATAGAGAGAGAGAACTTTCGTTAAATAGATACTATTATGAAATACTTGAAAATCTCAAGTAATGCCAAGCAATATTGTCAAACACAGCGAGAAATATCCACGACTCCAAAGGGAAACCAAAAAAACCAAAGTTTTTAATACAATAATCAAGATAACTGAAGGAAAATACCAAGATACAGTCGATCCTCAATTCGAGAGGAGAATCTATCTCGTCCAATCCCTAGACACCACGAGAGCCCAGGACACCAATTCCAAGAAGAAAAAACCACAATAATCATGCATGTTCTAACCCTAATGCGAACTCCCAATTAAAGCAAACATAAAAATAACCATGCAAAAAGGAGAAAGAAAAAAAACATAAAAATAACCAAAAGGACTAAACAACCCCCCTCTCTAATCCCTAAGATGTGGATTCCACCCCCAAGGGGCAGCCAAGTGAGCCTACAGGTAAGCAGGCTTGTGCCCTCTATAAGTGTGGAATCGGCCCAAGGGTTGGGTTGGTTAGAACATTCTAGGCGTATCAATACCCCGCTCTCAAAGAATCACCTTGTCCTTAAGATGAAAAGACATAAATTAATGTTGCACCATCTCATAAGGCTCCCATATAGCATCATTATCTGGAAGTTCCTTTCACTTGAACAACACCTCCGTTACCCCTCCTCCCTAACGCACCCCGCAAAACTCAAGAGATTCCAATATCACTTCCAAATATGTAGTCAATGTTGTTGGCAACTTTGAACTCGATCTGTGATGCCATACAACTCTACTAAACTGTGATACATGAAACACTAGGTATATGGTGGTGTTGAGGGGAAACCTCAAATACAACTCTGAGGTGAGTCTCTTGTACGTCTTTTGCACCCCTGAATGACCCCCAACAGCGCTCCCATGGAACTCCTAGAGCAGGTGTTGAATATGGGTTGATGTCCTAGACATCACAAATTTCTTCTGGTATAGAAACCTCTCACCTTCTAAAGAATACCCTAGATGTGTACTCCCCTCCTTCAATAAGCCCGCCCTAATCCTTCCCAACTCCTCATCCCGTTGACTCTCCTCCTTAATAGCCTTCCAATCCAGCATTAGTGGTATCGACACTGTTATCGCCTTTAAATTCCCTATAAATCTGGACAAGACATCTGCTTCCTTGTTCTCCATCCCTGGCCTATGCTAGATTTCAAAATCATATCCCAACAAATTTGACAGTCATCTTTGGTGTTCCTCGGCACCATCCTCTGCTCCAACAACTACTTCAAGCTCGTTGGTCTATCTTAACAACTACCCCTGAGATTCTTGGGCACTGGCCATCTCAACATAGCTTTAATTTTGGCCTGATTTGCCACTCCCCCTCCTTAGAGACTACATGCCCCAAGTACTCCATACTGGCCTGGGCAAAACAATATTTCTTCAAATTGGCCCTCAACTGGTGTTCCTCTAACACCTCCAAAACCCTCCTCAAGTGTTCCCAGTGCTCCTCCTCTGACTGTTGTAAACTACGATATCATCAAAAATACAAAAACAAATTGCCTGAGATAGGGTCTGAAGACCTTGTTCATAAGGAACTGAAAAGTGGCTGGGGCATTAGTGAGACCAACAGGCATCACTAGAAATTTATAATGCCCTTCATAAGTTCTGAAAGCAGTTTTAGCACATCCTCCTTTTTCATCCTAATATGATAGTACCCTGACTTCAGATATATCTTGGTGAAGATAACTACCCCACTCAACTCATCCAAGAGCTCATCTATTATTGGGATTAAAAACTTGTCTGGCATAGTTTCCTTATTCACTTCCTTGTAGCCTCAATCTCCCATCGTTTTTCTTAACCAATAATACTGACCTAGAAAAGGGGCAAACATTGGGTCTAATAATCCTTACTTCCAGCATCTCTCTAATCAAATTCTCAATTTTATCCTTCTAAAATTAAGGATAGCGGTAGGGCCTGACACTGATAGGTGACACACCTTCCCTGAAGGTGATAACATATTCCTTCTCCCTTAGTGGTGGTAATCCCTGAGGTGGCTAAAAAACCTCACTGAATTATTGAATCAATGGCTGCACTTAAAGAGGAATGTCCCTACCCTCCTCCAATTTGATCCCCTCCCACCTATGTAGCTCCACCAGATAACCTTCCTCCACCTCTTGTATGCTCCTCTCCATGATTTTAAGTGATATCATGGCTTTGGAGAGTTCTGCATCTCCTCTGATCACTACCCTTCTCCCTTCCACCACCAACTCCATCGTCAATGCCCCCTAGTTGACCTTGGTGTCCCCTAAAGTCTATAGCCACTTCATCCCTATGATGACATCAGTGCTCCATAACTCCAACCTAGGAAATATTTGGGCGTGCATGATTAATAAGTTGTTTTTATATACCAAAAAGATATATGCTAAATTAGAAATACATGGAACAAACACAACTGCGAATTTCTGTGTTGTTCAAGTTAGGCGCTAGATGAAAAAGAGCTCATGATGATCTCCAATTGTTTAGATTCCATTAGAATTGGTTAAGGTTTTAGATTTGGAAAAGATAACAACCAACCATATAGCCTTTGTCATCAAAGATGTAAGCAGAAATAATACTTTCTTTGCCAAACCAATTTAAGTACTAAATTCTTTTATAAAGAATGTACACTAAAAATTAAGTGCAAAGTAATAACTGAATCACTCTAGATGCTTACAGAGTTGAAGGGCATGTGATTAGAAATTCAGAGTATCAAGCAAGAAAATGTTTAATTATTAATCTGTACTAGACATGTAAATGCTGTATTTCGTGGATAAGAATTCAACATGAAAAAACTAATGAAACCAAATCAGTGCGTAAAGTTATATATGAAATAATGAGCAATAATTACAGCATTCACAAGAGAAGTCTCTGAACAATTCACAAAATCATCAGGAACCTATTCATGCTTGTGAGACTGGATACAACAGTTTAAAAAGCAATCATATAAATGCGTGAGCATTGTTTAATTGAAAATTTATGAATTTACCAATAATTCAAGAAGACTTCAGACAATTTTATTGGAGATGACTGCTTGCACACCATCAGAAGCTGCTCAAACGCAGCCAATGATTCCCCATCACATGACTCTCGAGGTAAGGTCACTAAATTTTTCATGCCACCAACGTCAACCACCTTATATGCCTTGTTTTCTGATAAGGCTATTTCACCTTCACATTTATCAGTAGTTGTTGCCTCTTGTTTTATGGTAAGGGCACTGAAGGAAGATAAGACAGACTCTGCGCTCAGGTCTCCAATCAAACTTTTATTTACACTCCTCGAAGAAACACCGCTTAGGTCACAGGAAAAGTTCGAGGCAACTTCTGAGTGAGGCTCCCTAGTAGATTTTTGTGTTGCACTGTTGGATTTACTCTCGCTCAATTCAAAAGATGAAGTTTCTCTGATCTGTGATAAAGAATAGGCAACTCCATGATTGAATGAACCAACACTAGTAGTGTAACCGGAGGGAGCTGGTATTGTCTCCATTATCTTAGATAGCGGCCAAGCCATGCACCGTCCCAAAAATAGCTTTGATCGTCTCCACCGACCCAAAATGGCAGACAAATCATGCTCTATGCATTCATAATCTGTACCCATCTTCCAAATGAACCTATTGGGAGAAGGGCTTTCCTCCAACAGTTCAAAGGCATCAACCTCTTCAAAATAGGCCTTCTCCTTGCTGAAATCATAGAGTTGCTCCGGAGCTTTCTTCTGCAAACACAACATGACTGTTTTCATAGATAAAGACTATCATCACAGTTTACTTATGTGTAAACAAAAAAAAAAAAAAAACAGTTTAAAAAAAAAGCTTTTAGATATGGCTAATAGGGAACAAAGACCTGCTTTAGTTTCTTCCGCCCACCTCTTTGTTTGGGCTTTGTCCTCAAGTTCAGGCCGCCAACAAATATTATACTTTCCCGCCCCCTATGAATTTAAAGTGAAAAACAAACGCAAACATTTCCCTCAAAAAGCAATAGAAATTTTATGGAATTATAAAGACAAATTTTGTAACCAAAGTCAGTAAAATATTAATCATAAGCGTTGTTGTAATATCGCATTCATAATATTAAAAATAGCATAAACAATAAGAGTAAAATTTCAATCGAAACTAATAATAACAGAAAATCAAAGCTGACCTTATTGAAAGGGATCGATTCCAGCTAGTCCGCTTCGACGGGCCACGATTCAATCTTCTCCATGGATTGGAATCATTTCTTTGCAATCAAATGAAATAAATCGGTCAAAAGGATGAATTTACCAACAGATTCCACAAGCGCTGCCAAGTTTGAGGAGATTCCGACGCCTACCTTTTAGCTTTGGCGACGCTAGACGGCCTTCTCCCCTCATCGACCATCGCGATTTGGTCGCATGACGATCGCCCGGTATCAGGTGAAGCGATCTCCATGATATCAAGGCCGTTGCCTATAGATTATTGAGGCGAAAGTGGGCGAGAATCGAAGCAATGTTCGATACGAGCAGGAAACAATTTCACTAATACCTCTCAGAGAAAATGCGTCCTCGGAGAGAGAGAGAGAGAGAGAAAGAGAGAGAAGGCGTCTTTAGGGAGGGAAATTTGAACTCCAATTAGAACGTGGGTTCTCGTAAATAAAATGATAATGAAGTAATAAACAATTTATATAGTAGGGGTTCCGACCCTAAACTCCACTCAAGTTCGTCTTGATATACAGCTTGTGATCCGAATTTAATGTGCTAATGAGATTAGCTTGAGCCAGGCCTGATCTCACGAGCCAATTTATTTAAAATATATTAATATGAAACATATTAAAAATATTTTAAAATTCAAAATTTTAAGTATAAAATTGTTGAAAATATTTGAAAATTATATTTCATTTTCTTATATTTAATAACTATTTGTTATTTTTTAATAATTTCTAATTACCATTTTATTAAAAAAGAATTGCTTAAATCATATTCATTTTTCTTTCATAATAAATGAGTCGGCTCTCGTAAACTGACTCAAACTTCTTATATAAAGCTAAAGCTCAAACTCGATTCATTAATCAAGCTCAAGTAAGAGGTGACTCATGCTCGACTTGATTTATTTGGACCTCTAATTAGTACAAACAAATAATGTAAGCATGAAATAAAAACAAAATTAGTAGTGTCAAGCAACATGCTTTCAAGATGAAATACATATAATTTATTTTTATTTTTGATGTGGCAGACATAACTTGTATTCAAGTTGATCGGCATTATTGACTTGTTGATTGCTAGTGATTAATATGTTAATAAATAACCTATAAAGGTTAATCACATTTTCTTCTTAAGAAAATAAAGACTAACATGGACTTCTTAAAAAAAATGTTAATAAATTTTAATTAGATTAATTAAATTATACTTATTTTATTAACATCATAATTAATTAGTAATTAATTAAATATTAAATAAATGAAACTTAAAAATAAATTTAGGATATAGGCAGCATTATTCTCTAGCACTATCTATCTTTATATATAATTGCACTTCTCTTCAGTTTTGTGTATTTTTTTTAAAAGGTTAAAAGGGTACAAAAGAGTACATGCTTGTATGGAAACAACTATATATCTGTCTTCTTAGGACAAAAAACAAGTAAAAATGGGAAGAACTATACTTTTATATATTGCAATTCATACAGAAAAATAATAAAAAGTAAAGTGAACAGACGCCCCTTTGATTTGCACTGAGATGTCTTCCAAGTATTTACATTTATGACCAACAAGATAATCAAGGAACAACTTGAGGGGAAATATCGAAAACAGTTTTGTATATGTTATTCCTAGAGCATTAGGCAAGTCTAAGGTTTGTTTTTCCTCATTGTCATTTCCTCATTCCTACTTCAGTTTTCTATGAAGTAGAGTTTTAGATGTACTTCTCCCTATGTATTATCTTTGTTGCAATCCATGACCCCTAGTTTTAGATTTTGATGATGACAAATAATGTCGCATGAACTACTATTCATTGAATATCTTTGATTTCTGCTATTGTCTGTGAGTACTAAGATTTCATGAAGATCACAAGTTACTCAGGACAATAGGAAGACTCAAGACTAGGTAGAGTAGGAGTGTGAGGCTATATCATTGTAATTTTTTATTTATTTTATTTTCTCTTTTCTTGAGTCTGGACACAAACTACATGTAAGTCTAAGAAATCATGCACACACACAGAGGGAGAGGGTTTTAAAAAAAATATAGTTTTTTTTTATGTTGATCGTACTGTACGATATGGTCTGGTTGAATTGTATTTCTATGAACAGGTCGTACCGAACGATTTGGGTTGTACTGTGCGATGTGTTACTAATCCAAAACCCTAGCCTCCATATTAGTTTAAGTAAGTTTATTAGTCGTTCATAATGTACGAAGTAATGCGTAGTGTACGATTTATTTTGAATACTTACTTAAATTAACCCGTGATTAGCAAAGTAAATCAAGGTTTTAATCACTGATAGGTACTCGTACTGTACGAACATGTTCGTACTATACGATCAACAGAGACAAGTTTTGATCGTCCCGGACTTCGTCCTGGACAATCTCTTGTTTTTGCTTAATCATATTGTACGATGTATATCGTATCATATGATGTACAGAGATGAGTTTTGATCATCCTGGACTTCATCCTGGACGATGCCTTGATTTTGATTATTTGTACTATACGAGGTAGGTCATACCTTACGATGTACAGAAACGAGTTTTGATCATCCCGACTATCATCCTGTACGAACAGAAGAGTTGACGATCGTATCGTATGATTATTAATCATATTGTATGACTATATTTAGAAGTATCAAAATAGTAATGTTTTGGTGAGTGTCAGAAAAGAGGGGAACGTGATTAGAGAGGGAATCATTGGGAGAGAGCTCTTGAGAAGTTTTTGGGGTTTGAGAGAGGAAGGAGTGGGTGAGCTTGGTGAGGGAGATCACACGGTTGCTCCATTCTTACAGCATCTTCCTCCTCCTGTGGCCCGAGAAGAACTTGTGGAAGGCTCTCTGAGGGGGAGACTCTTCTACATCTGTGTCCTCAAAGGTAATCTACCTTCTCCAGGATGGAGAAAAATGAGAAGGTATGCTGCCGTCGCCAGGAGGGTGAGAAAAGCGTTTGGCACTCTACCACATTGGGTTGGTGAAAGTGAGTCTTGTAAGGGCTTCTCCGCCTTGCCGAGGGGGCAAAAAGGAGAACTATAGTTTTGTAGTGAAATTCCCGGAGTGGAGGACTCTTGGGAGTGGACGTAGGTCATGGTTTGACCGAACCACTATAAAACTCTGATGTGCTTTTTCTTTATCACTTTTTATTTTGGCTTGCACTTTATTTTCATTATATTTGCTTGATGATAATTGTGAAAGAAAAAGAATTTCATTGTTGCAAACTGTTTTCAAATAATTCCTTTCATGTTAGATAAATTTTTCTTGTTAAAATTTAAAAATAATAAAAAATTATTAGAATTCTTGTTTAGGGGTTTCAAAAATAGTGTTTTAGAAAACCTTGAAAAATAATCATATTGCGTTTTGGTAATTGTAATACCGCGGAGGGTTATTCAATAACCCGTCCACCTCTTTTTGACAATATCTCATTTAATTTCTGAAAAATTAGAACGTCTACTTTTTTACAGTCTATTGATTACCGCATGTGGATGTTAGTCAATGATGATTACATTGCACCTTTTAAAAATGTGAATGGAGTGAAAACTCAAGTGCCTTTTAATGAATAGAGCAATGAGGATATGGAATTAGACCAATTAAATGCGAAGTGCTTAAATTATTTCTTTTGTGCTTTAAAGTCTGAGGATTATATGAGAGTTTCTACATGTGCTACTGATAAGTAGATTTGTGATAGAATGTGCATCATGTACGAAGGAACTAGTGAAGTTAAACAATCTAGGCTTAACATTCTATTGCATGATTATGAACTCTTCTGTATGAAATCTAGCAAAATAATATCTGATATGTACACTAGGTTCACCCAAATTGTGACATTTCCAACATGTGATGGAAGTATATATCGCGGGTCGCT